AGTTTTATATGGCCGGAAAAAAAATCTACTAATTCTGTGATCATAAAAACATTTTCTGAATCCTTATGCATGCATCAGCAAATTTAACACAACAAATTCCTTGCAATTTCTTACATTCGTGGATTATTCTCATTTTACTTCACCATGGATTGATCAATTTATGCTCTAGAGATTTAGTATGACCTGTCTATATGTCAAATATGTATTGGTATTGATCTGTGTCAGGGAATCTATAGCTGTTGAATAAAATATTGATTACTGACTACAGTTCCAAACCAATCTGCTTTCACCATACCTTGCGCTCGTGAATCTGCATTTATCAGATCACACCATTTCCAGAATCAGGTCGATTATCTTCTTCTCAGTATCCCTTACGTGTCCTGGAGTGCTTACATTGGACGTTTATCATGGCTTTGCTGGCGTGAGATTCAAGAAAGCTCTCGACCTCTTACCAAGACCAGGTACTTCTTCCCCATTTTAGTATTATGCGTTGATCACCCACCTCCTGCTACCTAATTCTTCAAAAATGCTGAAAGTTGTTGAATGCAAACTGAAAATAGAAAAAATTTTGTGTTTAATTGGTTTAAAATAGTAACAGCCATGCTTTATCCAGACATGCTTTGGATCTTGTATCCAAAAATAGCTCCAAACTATACGTACTTTCATTAAAGAACTAGCTTTTTATCACTGAATATTATTCAACGTTTGTTGGGAGCAAACAACAGCTCACAACAGAAACAGAGACAACAACTTTTTTTTAGATAATCTACCAAATTTCTGTACGTATTTGGTGGGTCAAAATGAACACGTAGGTACCTTCTTTGGGTAATCCATGCACAAGCAACCTCTGGATTTTGGACATGTAGCTACCCTATCAAGCATTAAGATGTAAGCATTGTCATTAATTTAGGTTTGAAATTTGATATTTTGGATAATAAGAGTATTCTGATTCACTACATGACAGCCGCTGTCTCCATGACATAACGCATGGAGACATGAACCTTAGATTATGCTCATGATTATCTTAATCGTATTGTATTAGCAAAGCTTTGTTTAAAATAGTAATTTAGCATTATAGTATTATGCTCTCATTCCATGCAAGTGGGGAATGATTCCTTTTTAGAGAAAGGTTCATGCAAGGGTTATCTTTAATGATAATTTTATAGTTTTAGGTGAGAAAGGCATGGAAGCAAGCTCTAAAACTAAAGTGCTGTATAATATTTCATTTATTATCTTAATCATATTGTATTAGCAAAGCTTTGTTTAAAGTAGTAATTTAGCATTTTAGTATTATGCTCTCATTCCATGCAAGTGGGGAATGATTCCTTTTTAGAGAAAGGTTCATGCAAGGGTTATCTTTAATGATAATTTTATAATTTTAAGTGAGAAAGGCATGGAAGCAAGCTCTAAAACTGAAGTGCTGTATTATATTTCATTTATTACTACTATTAAAGGCCCAACTAGGGTAGATCTTAGTGGATCAATAAAACAGTATTTGATTCTTTAACCCAATTAGGGATAGAACTTCGTGGACCAAAATTATGGTGTATTTTTTTACGCGTGTAATACATATAAATTATATAAAAAAATAATTGATATATTTTTTAATTTAATATATCTATTAATATTTATTAATTTAGATATTAAAATTTGAAATTTGAAATTTTCTTACCTTGAATTTAAATTTAAAAATAATAATTTTTTAATAATTATGTTGTAAAATATATTAAATTACAAGTGTATCAATTATCGTCCAAATCACATAACATCTGCTGTGACTTGGCATGTTACTGGTAGCTAGATCATGGTCCCCATTGTGTGGTCCTTACTCTAGGGATCATGAAACATCAGTGGTAACAGGTCTAATTGCTCAGGTGAGTACTGACCAGATTAATATACAAGTAGATCGAAGAATTAGGCCTAATCATCTAATCTAATTAATTGGTTTTTCTAACCATGTGTAACAATCACATTTTTATAATTAACTTGTATAAAAGATATAAATTTTAGTTTTACTTTAATCGATTAGTCAATTATAAATATTCATATGATAATAGTATTAAAATAAAAATTAATTTTTTATGTAAATTAATTAAAAAATAATACATTTATCACACTTAACTTGCGTCCTAGGCAACCCTAATTAATGAACTAATTCAAAGAATTAACAACGTCATCCATGCAAATATTTTCCCTTCTTTTTTTCACCAAAGATTCTGTAATTTGGCTAATCCCGAGTAATATTAATTCTCGAGTTTCTTTTATTGAAAAAAACTCAAGCTTTATATTTGGCTAGCTAGAAGCCACAATAGGTAGTCTCATAACTCACTTTTCTCCTCTTAATTTCTTTTCTTTTTCTCATTTAACATCTAATTTATTCAGTTTGCATGGATGACGAGATAAAGGTTCGAATAGTCATCTTATAAAAGAAATTTAACTTATCTTAGTTTGACACATAACTCAGATTCGTTAATCTATTTATGATTTAACAATTTGAACTTTGCAGCCTAATTGAAGTATACAGTTCCCTCGGCCATACTGCATATATATAATAGAACTGCAACTTTCAAGTTTCATACCATCGACATGTCTTGTGGGACCTTTAAATATGGTTGATTTGCTTTCATTGAATTTTTTCTATGAAGAAATACAGAAGATACGTTATAAAATGGAGTGGTTGTGAATATATGGTCAGGCTTGGAGCTAATCAATGAAAGCCTCTAAACTTCTCTCTTGGAGAAGAAAATAATATTGGGGGTTTTTACTTTTTAAGAAGCTTAAGGTCTAGCGCATGAGCTATGTGTGTATACCAGACAACCCAATAGTCTACTTTAGAAAGCAAATTCTGGGTAAAAACTGGACAATCATTGTTGTTCCAGTCAACGAAATTGAGCTTTCTTGGCATTTTTCTTTCTTGACAGCAAATGCATCTTATTCAAATTTCAAATTTGTGGTGAATAAGAGCCAAAATTGAGAGGAGACAATAATCACAGGGTATATGGCAAAGCTTTACAGGCAATTGTTTTAAAAGTATTATTTTTCTTTCATAAATATAAAATTTTGTTAGAGGAAAATTAAAAATTTGTTTTTATAGTATGTTTTAAACATGTTTTAAAAAAACTAAGAGTTTTAAAAAAGATTAAACATGTAATTTTTTCAAAACTTATTTAATTTTGTTTTTTTCTTTTAAACAAAATTTTATATTTGTGAGAGAAGACTATTAATTTTAAAACAAGTGCTTTTTAAGTTTTGTCAAATACCCTCAACTCCCCAAGCATATATGAATAGAGTACTGTTAAAATTAAGATTTGAAGTGAATCATATTTGCCCATATACAAAGTTTACAAGTTATGCCAAAACAATTTAATTATTTTGAGTTAAAGAAAGTTGCTGACAATCTATATTGTCAAGCTTGCTTGTTAAAAGAGTAATTCAGTTCTTTTTTCCCCACCTTGTTCTCCGGCCCAAAATTCCTTTCTTTCCCAATTTTATCTCTTGAGAAATGTCCGATTCAAAATTATCTCATGTACTATAAGATGGGACCTAGCTTACTATTGGGTTTAACTGATATTCAAATTAGAGGTTTTATGTTTAAAGTTTGATATTGATATTATTTTGTTGTTGATCAGTAATTATTTTTTTTAGGAACAAAAAATAAAGCATATAATTTTCCTTGAGTGTGATGTTGGTAATACAAATAGTAATCTAGATTTTCTACCAAAACATCTGATTGCATTAATGATCCATGTGTACTGCATTAATGATACATGTGAAATATGCAGAAAAATCAAACTTGGACTAGACTAAATGGACACAAACTCAAAGAAGTCGTCATTTGTGAAGCCCTTTGATCCTCATTGGTGCATAATAAATGTTCATATAAAACTTCGGGGAGGCCGGACATATCTATTATTGTCATCTCAAGTAGATTGCTTCCTTCTTAGAATTTATTATCTCATTCATCACAAAAGGACCGTACAACTAAGGAAGCAATCCCACCACACACACAGACACCCACCCCCCCCGACATGGGATTAGGATTGATTTAGCAAGGATGTTATACCTTGGACAAATACTAGTCATGTTAAATATTACTACTTCTTTTATTTCAAAATAATAGTTGTCGTAATTATCTTACCTCTTTTATTTCATTTTATTTACATACTATGCAATTTAAATTTAAGATCTTTTATTTTTAGTAAAAGGAGATAATTACTAAATTATTTAGGTTGTTAGTGATTTTTTTTTTAAATTAAAAATTTTAAAATAATATATTATATATTTATATTATTCTTAAAAAATAAAAAAAAATATTTTGTGATGAGATGATTAATTAAAGTAAATAAATAACAATAATAAGTTAAAATAAAAATATGTTTATTTATTTTGAAAATAAAAAACAATTAATTTAAAATAATTTTAAAATTCACAAGTTATGGTTTTTTTTTATTTTTTTATTTTTTTCAAAGAGTAATAACTTAATATTACAAAATTTTTAATTTTTAATTTTTTTTATGAATTTAGCTCTAAAATAAAATTTTAAAATTAATAAATACTATAAAAATTAATTAATAATTATTTTTAAATAGAGAAAGTAAATATTAACTATAGCCATTCCATAGGATAAAAACAAACAAAAGCTTTAGCCATTAGTAGCTAGCTCGAGTCATCTTGAAAAAAAAAAAAAAAAAGAAATTGAAGGAAACCCTCTTACAAACGTCAACGCTGTAAAGGGCAGGGGAACGTGGCTGTTTTGTGTTGATGACAGCTAATCTGAATCCAGAAGAAAGGGTTAGTGTCACTTAAACCCGAGAACGATTGCTAACAAGATAGAGAAAGATAGATAGATTTACTATTGTCGAAATCACATTTTTCTCCAGAGAAACGGGACACGTTGTCATAGTGATATACAGAGGACGGTACCGATTACTTTTGACTTTGCTTCTGGTTTCCTACCCTTCTCTCTTTCTATATATACAAAGTCCGTCCCATTACGGACCCTACATCTTCTCTTTGCTGTTCATTTTTATTTCTCCCTGGCAATCAAAGCTCCTTAGCTTTTCAACTCTCCTGCACTCTTAATTAACGATTCCATAGTCATGGGGAGAGCACCTTGCTGTGATAAAAATGGACTTAAGAAGGGACCATGGACGCCTGAGGAAGATAAGAAGTTGATCGATTACATTCAGAAACACGGCTATGGAAATTGGAGAATGCTTCCAAAAAATGCAGGTAAGAGAGATTTTTAGATTCACAGAAAAATAAAGAATGTGATGGGTCTACTTTTGCTATATTGGGTTCTTAATTACTTCTTATTTTAATTGGGCATGCAGGACTTCTAAGGTGTGGAAAAAGCTGCCGTCTCCGGTGGACTAATTACTTGCGCCCTGATATCAAAAGAGGCAAATTTTCTTTTGAAGAGGAGGAGGCAATAATTCAACTCCACAGGATCTTAGGCAACAAGTAAGTTTTTAAACTTTCGTGTCAGCATTAACATTCTGAATTCCTTCAGGTGGTAAGAAAATTTGATTTGGTCACTTATTCTTTTAAATTTAACTATGTTTTGGTCAGGTGGTCTGTCATTGCTGCTCGGTTGCCTGGAAGAACTGATAATGAAATCAAGAACTACTGGAACACCCATATCAGGAAAAGGCTTCTTCGAATGGGAATCGATCCAGTCACTCACAGTCCTCGTCTCGATCTTCTTGATCTCTCCATCTTAAGTTCATCTCTCTACAATCAATCTCAGATGAACTTTTCAAGGTTGTTAGGAGCAGCGCCTCCCCTGGTGAACCCGGAGCTTTTAAGGTTAGCAGCTTCACTGGCGTCATCCCAACACGATCAAATCCAAAACCAAAACCAAAATTCTTATCTTCTTCAAAATGTTCAACAAACCCAACTTTGCAATCCTCCCCAAGTGGAAAACCAATATCAACTGCCATTAATGCAAACTCTGGTCCAAGATATCCCTTTTTCTAACGAAGCACAATTTATGAACTATAACATGGACCAGTTCCAACCAAATCTTACTGCTGACTTCTGCGGACAAATTAGTGCTGGGGAGAGCTGTGAAATGCCTTCAAATTTGACCGAAGACTGTATACCACTACCATCAAGTTATGACAATTATTATGTGTCGGCGCAAGCTATTCTGGAGACATCAAATTTCCAGTCCAATGAAAGTAACCAGAACTTCGGGTTCGTGTCGGTTTTATCAACGCCGTCATCAAGTCCGGCATCGTTGAACTCAAATTCTACTTACATCAATTGTAGTAGCACTGAGGACGAGAGAGAAAGCTACTGCAGCAACATTTTGAAGTTTGATATCCAAGATATCTTGGATGTTAATTAATGAATATTCATGTAACTTTTAATTCCAAACTATGAAACAAGTTTTTTTTTTTGCTTTCCTAATTCGATTTCCTTGTTCTCTTTTTGAAATTATGTTTTTGTTCACTTTTTATAAAAAATTTCTAGTAGGAACTAAGTTACGATTTTTATGAGACCCATTGTAGAATTGTTCTTCGAGTAGGCAATAACAAAACAACTGAATCATTTTGTTTTGGTATATCAAAACTACTAATTATTGAATTATGTAAATTAGTTAAAAAAAATTAAAAATTAATAAAAAATTATTGAATTCCAGCAAAAATTAAGAGCGAAAGGTTATTTACTTCACAATCTATAATTTTCTAGTTTCCATTTCAAATCATTTAAAAAATAACTAAATTTTAAAAATTAAAAAATCTTTTCAAAAGTTAAATCAGACAAATATTAAATGAAAAATGAGATACTATTTATGTTTGATTCATTATTGATATCTCATACATATTTTTTTTAGTTATTCTGTCTCAATCATATTCTTGATTATAAATCGTCATCTTATCAAATATTTATTTAATCTAATTATGTCAAACCAACAGACAAATGTCTACTTTCAAATATATATATATATATATAAATCCAATCATATATTACTATATATATATAAATCCAATCATATATTACTACAACAGTCACATCATATACACAGGGTTTGTAGCTACTGGCCCTGTTCACAAGAATGTTCATACTTCCATTAAATTTCTCTCAAGATAATTTATCCCCAAAAAAAAAAATCTCTCAAAATAAAGCAACTACCCTTTATCCTTCCTTTAATCGGAAAAATTTTATCTATTATAGGAAATAAAAAAAGCCAAGAATAAGAACATTAAGCTAAATTTAGTAGTAGCAACATTCAACTATATTAAAAAATAGTTCTCCAAAAGAAAGGAGAAAAATTTTAAAACTATCATATTTAAACAAATCATTAGGGAATTGGGAAAGTGTTTCAGTTTCAAAGATCCCGACAAGTCGTCAAATTCCGGCGATGTTTCCGGCTAGAGCGAACGCCGGCCGTTGTGGGTGGGACACGTGTTCGTGTCACCTGTACAGCGACTGTCTTTTTCACTTACGATATAAATAAAGTAATTTGCTTGGGGATTATGCTAATGGCCTTATGGCGGAAGTTTTGACAACGAGGATCGGAGGGCGTGACTGCCTACGACGGAGCCATCAAATTGTGGGGACAACAGCTTTAGTGAAAATCATGGGCATGTAGCTCATGCACATGGGTGTCGTGTTGTCATTGGCGTACAATAAATTATTAAGATTACACAAAGTGGGGTTACGTGTATAACATATCACCTTAAATATTAAAAAGTGTAATTTATCTTATAAGTTTATTAAAGAAACTTTGAATTTGTTTAATTTGAACTTTAAAAGTATAAATTAAGTATATATTAAATATATTTT